ATTATTAGAATTGGCTGAAAATGTTTCTGATGAGACAATTCTTGATAGAATATTACCTTATATCGTAAGTATTAAAAATGCCATTTTTTTCTAGAAATTTTGTAAATCATACAAAAAATAAATAAGAATATTACACAAATTTGTATTTATTGAGTTAAAAAATGTTTTAACGTGAGTAAATTATATCTTTTATTTTATATTATTAATTATTGCTTATATATATTTTTAAAAATATTACTTAGTTCCATTTGGTTCATGATCCGGCGCCGCGGGTGAGAGTATCGGCGATACACACTTTAACAAAGTGTTTACATCTTGTAAAGTCGATACCATCTTCGGATGTAAACATATTCCCTGAGTACATTCTACCAGGTCTAGCGCACATAACTCAAGACGAGGCAGTTATTGTTAGAGCAGCTTATGCAGAGAATATTGCTCATTTGGCGCACATCGCTCTACGTTATTTAGAAAACGCTCATCTGTCTAACTTGAGTAACAAGGAAGGGCCAAAGCCCAGTTACGATAGCGAACTGCAAACCTTGCACGAAATGGTATAAATATTTTTCATAATTCGTAAAAAGATTAAAACGACATATTTTCGTTGAAATTTTCGTTATTAACTGAATTTCGTTATATGTAACTGAAATACTCTATCGATTAGCTTAATAATACTTTGTTATATCTTTATCTTTTATTTAGGTCCAACAATCAGTGTCCATGCTGTTAACAGATCCCAAAAATTTAGTGAAACAAACATTAATGGAGAATGGAATAAACAAATTGTGTGTGTTCTTCGGAAAACAAAAAGCCAATGATATTTTACTTAGTCATGTTATCACATTTTTAAATGACAAAGAGGACAAGGAACTGAGAGGCTCTTTTTTTGAATGTATAGTCGGTGTAGCCGCTTATGTCGGTTGGCATAGTAGTCCCATATTAATGCCACTTCTGCAACAAGGTTTATCCGATCCTGAAGAATTTGTAACCACAAAGGCTATAAATGCCATGGCAACACTTACAGAATTGGGTCTGCTACATAAATCTGCTCTTTATCAATTATTATCTGAAACTATGGTCTTCCTGGTACGTTATCGTTATAAAAATTTTCGATATATATAATTCAAATTACAACATTTCTAATAGATTTTTTATTAATTTAGAACATTTTTTTATTGACAAAATTGAAGTTATAAGATTTTGTTAAAATTTTGATAAATTTCAGAACGTTATTTAACACAAATTCTTTGAAAGTAAAAAATTAGACAATATAAAAATTGGACAAAGCAAAATTGGAATAAGCTTTTTTTAAAAATGACTAGTTTAAATTTAAAAGAACTTTGCGTATTGGTGTAATTAATTTGCACTGTCATTTTTTTTATAGGTCCATCCAAATCTTTGGATACGTCATGCAACCGTCGGCTTTATTTCCGCGGCAGCAAGAACTCTGAATGTGGTGGATGTTCAATGTAAAGTTCAAACAATACTCCAACCATATCTGAAACATTCATTGATCCAAATAGAAAAGGAGATTTTATTACTCGAGGCACTTGTTCCTCCTATATCTAGAATCGTATATGATTCCGTGGTGAAGTATAACGATGTGGAGGAACTATTCCAAGTACTTGAACAGAGACAGGCAGCCAGAGCAAAAGCCATAACAGATGTAGTATCACCGCAATACAATGATATGAGTACCTCTTTAAAAAATGTAAATAACGTTGATTATATTCAATATTGAAATATTGAAAAGAAATTTTACTATATTGCCAGAAAATTAAATTTTAGAATAAAAATAATATTGTATTATACCATGCAGCGAAAAAAATTAAAATAAAGATATATTATTTATTACTGCAAATAAAGAAGATTCAATAACAAAAGATTCACAGACAATTCTTTTTAGCTTTTTAGACGATTAAGTTCGGAATCGATGACTGAGGCAGTTGAGGATCAATTGCTAATCATGAAACCTCACTTGATGAAGATCAACAAGTATCGCAATTCCGCGGACACGAAGCAAAATGTTATCAAGTCCGTAGACGGTAAACTAGAGTTAAGTCCAATGAAAGATAGGATAAGACATCATGTCGTCGTATTATATCCTGATACTAAGGGAGACTTAACGCTGCCACCTTTCAAGAGATTGGATCGAAGAACATCGGAGACTGTTGGTACATACGCAACGATGAATCAAGAATGGCGTACGATGTTTGCAGCTCAAGATAACGCTCAAGTATTATAACTAATATCGACAATTCTTTGTTTCCTATATTATCTGATAATTCTATATTGTTCATAATAATTTTTCTTATATTACTATGATAGCACGCTATTGTTAAAATGTCAGACATGACTGGAAGCAGTGGCAGTCCCAGCCAGAGTATACACAGTGGAGACATCCATTTATCTCCGCATCATTGCCTATCAGATATGACCAGCATTAATTCTCTCATGAATGACCATTCGCTTCACGAGCGATCTTATATACAATGTAAATGATCTTATATACAATGTAATGAAATTAATGCAATTACAATACAACAAAATAATAATAAAAATAATAAATAATTGAAAAGTTAAAAATAATAAAATTAAAAAATAATGTTTATATAATTTTTGTGTTTTACAAAATGATAGAAAAATATAAAAGAATAATGATTTTGCAGATAGATGTGCGCCCTGTCGCTTAGAAGTACGGCAATTAACGTACCGGAAGCAAGAGCAACATGCGGCAGTGTTAAGAACAAAACGTTGGGCTAACAACATCGCCTGCGAAGCTGGTAAATAAAAATTAAATCTTTACAGATTACATCGTGCTCTGTCGTATGATTATCATGTGCTTTTTTATTTATTATCGATGTTGGCTAAAAGGCTCCACATCACTGCCAAAGGATTGGAGACCTCGAGGAGTTCCCGTCGCGCATCTTCACGAACACAGAGCTGCAGTAAATAGATTAGTTTCGATACCGGACACTAACTTGTTCGCAAGTAGTTCCTCCGACGGATGTATTAAAATTTGGGATGCTAGTAAGATGGAGGGACGAAATATTGCTAATCGTTCTAGGTACTGTTTTTCTCTTCCAGAACAGTTATACATTGAAGATGTTTTGACTAATTTATTGTATTATTTTAAGTTTAAAGCTTCGAGTTATTAATAATGCAATATTCGTTTCTTGATGCTTTACAGGCAAACGTATATGCACAGAGGAGGCCCGCTGGTTGGCTTAACTGTGTGCGACCAAGGGCAATCTTTAGCAAGCTCTGCGAGCTCTTCTGGAACGGTATTCGTACTTCGGATTGAGCCAAACTCGAGTAAAATGAGCCTGATTGGCACTCGTCAATTGGATCCCCAGGTGAGAAAATATCCGCAATAATATAAAAATTCATTGCATGTGAATTTTAAAGAAATGTTGCTTGTAACTTTGACAGGAAGAAGGAAGTGCTGTCGATCTACAGTATCTAGATTCCGGCTCGCAATCAGTTCTTGTATACGCCTCCTTGTATGGATCGCTAGTAGGTTGGGACCTACGATGTCCCGGCACAACATGGCGCTTAGAAAATGATTTAAAACATGGAGTCATCACGTCATTTTGCGTAAACAGTCATCAGCAGTGGTTGACCCTTGGCACGAGTTCCGGTATTCATACCTGTTGGGACTTGAGGTTTCAATTGCCAATAACGAGTATCAAGCACCCGACAGGTAGATTATTTCGTCTATTTTATTTTCTATTGCGCTTGATGTACCAGTTTCATTTAAAATGATTTCTAATAATTTTACTTGTATTATTTGTAATGCTATTTATCATTTCCTTCAGGCGCCAGAGTACGAAAGGTGATTACGCATCCGATGGAGCATTCGTGGATAATTTCGGCGGTACAAGGTAACAATGAGATATCCATGTGGAATCTAGAGACCGATCAGCGACAGATGGTCCTATGGGCATCAAATGCCCCACCGTTGAGTCGTACTCAAGCCGGTCACACTGTATGTGCCATGTACGCTGGATGCATCGATTGTTCGGGCTTCCTTTTAGCCGGCGGTACCGATATGCGATTACGCTTCTGGGACTTTGATAGACCTACCGCTTCTTATGTTGCTCTGCCCGCTGCTAATGATGTTCTCACTCCAAATTCATTGGCATACGAGTTAGTGAGCGATTCATTACAAAAAATCACTCAATATATTATTTATTATATTCTTGTTTAATGATATACAATATCGCTTCTCTGTTTACAGTTTACGTTTGATAGACGGAACGAACGTCGTGCAGGAGGTATTGGTGGATGACGATTCTAATCCGTTATCTGGAAGTGACACAAGAGGAAGAAACATGGAGGAAGGTGGTCCCGAGACTCCACCCTCCGGTCAGCACGACACAATCTCCGCTGTAGCTATGTCGAATACGTGCATTCTCACTGGCAGCACAGATGGTTTGATACAAGTCTGGAAATGATTGTTCTTCTCGGTCCAAAATTCGATTACAAAGTTCCTCGCACAGGCGATAAAAGATTTTATCAGTGTAATGCGGAATTTCTTCCCGGTAATAACGAAACCATTGTGATCCAAGTAAGAAATAAGTTATTTTAGAATTCAGATAAATTATCCAGCAATGCCAGACATTGATCGTGATATAATTTATTTAAGGGTAGTCACGTGGAGGAATTGTGATGGCGATGTAATTATGATATAACAATTCCCATTTTGACAAAAAGCTTTGACAAAAAATCATATATTTTTAACAATTTCGTATAATTATCATTGATTATAGGTCTTGTTGGAAATTAAGGTATCATACTATATCTCACACATTGTGTAAAAAAAGTTAACTCTACAAATCAAATTATTTATTTTCATCTTTGTTTTACGTAATTTTTACAAAATTGAAAATCTTATTTCTAAATATAATTTTATAGATTAACTATAGATGAGTAAAATTCTCTCACTGTATTTAATTAAAACTGTATTTAAATTAAACTTTATATTGTACAATTTGCTTAGATAATATTAAAATGGCTTTTATTGCTTCTTTAAACTACAAGCATCAACGTACACACAACACAGCCGTGCTGTACCGAACTCTGTGATCCTGGACTGTATATAAAGTATGTAATATACATGATATTTAAGACTATGATTACAATTGTGCTACGAAGGCGTGCATTTTTGTTTTTTTAGAAAATTTGAACGTAAACTTACATTACAATGTAACATATATAATGTATATAGCTTATTTTTATACGTAAGATAAGAAGAGAGAGAGAGAGAGAGAGAGAGAGCTTGGAGTATTACTGATTTGTAGATAGATGGTGATGACTTAGAAAGTCGATGTTACACAGATCGATAGATAAGTCTTTGAACTGTAAGTTAGCAGATATTTAGTGGGTCTGTACGCGCACTAAAAATTTAACTGAAAGGTAAATAAAAGTTATACTGAGATGAAGTGACTTTGCATGATAGAACACTTTTAAAATGTCTGAAAAAGAAATCTAGAAACTACATTTTTACAGCTTTCGATCGTATTCTTTAGCTTTGTTTGTTTGGACTCTGAAAATTATTTTTGATAGTACGATACGGTTCCTAATTTCTTTTTCTTGTTTTTATATTTAACAAGTGCGAATACGGACCGAGAAGCGAGGAGTAATAAAGTTCGCATACAAAAAGATGCAATTGGCGGACAATTATCTCCTCACTTCGTACTTTAGTTGATGAACGCATACGTAGCTATATGTAATCATGAATATTTGTATGTATACTAGCATTATGTTTGCTAGCATTGTCACGGACACATACGTACACGCATACTGACTGAAATACTCATAACCGGTGGACGTATACTGTCTAAAACTACGTTGTTACAATAAATTCATATTTTTAACGCACGATACGTTCTAACTTGCGTTTGGCACGACAAATCAGAAATCCGATCGGAAATTTCCTTTACCATGGACAAACAGGTGCGGCAGGATAAGGCACGCGTCCTGGGAACGCATATGAATCCGCATTTATAGTCCTGCAAATTTGTTTCCAGCGCTCCTTACCACCTCTACTTTGACGATACGGGCCGTTTGCATAGTATCCGGTATTTTGATTGTCGTAAGACTGCTGAGGAAACCATAGATCAAGCCAGGGCTTACAAGAAACTAAACTGACCAGTAACAGCAGAATGATTAACTTCATTTTCTATTACTTGAAAACTTTGGTCATAATCTTTTAACAATCTTCTGATGATCTGGAAAGAGAAAGATTATTTTCTATTTTTGTGAGTATTTTAGATACATTGTGTTTAAATTTAATTGTTTAGTTTTACATTATATTCTAGAATTGTATTTTAATTCTCAAACTGAAGAAAAGGATATTTAAAACTAAATTCGAAAGATTAATTTTTTAATCATTTTTTTTTTAATTTTTGATATTTTTATAAAGATATAATACATATATCTTTATATTTACAAATCTATTAATTTAAAGTAAATTTCTATTAAGCAGAGTTTTGTTGAAAAATTCAGATTTGTTTCATTCGTTTCTCGAGATTGAAGTAATTGAAAAGATAAACTATATTTCTTACTATTATTCACTTTCCTTCGATTTCTCTGATATTCGTGATGATACAGGATCTATTGTAGGTATCCAAGCGAATGTTCTGCAAATAAAAAACAAAAGTTCCGTTAATGTCCCATTAACAGTTCGATTGCAGTTAACGCTCGCTGATTTTATCACTTCTGACAGGTGTCTCAGCACACTTAGAAAAGGGGATATAAAAACAGGGACAACACGCGTTCACGCACCAAAAAATCATATAATGGAAGTCATTGCGTCACGGCGTCAATGTTTTCTTTTACACTTTCTGAATTGTGAGATTAACGATGTCATTTTATGGAAATTTCAATATCTTACTGACCGTATTGTTATATATTTGAATTTGTTCTCTAACTATGGAAAATAATTGAGGCCACGTAGCATCTTTAATAATTGTACTGGATATAATAATTAACTTTTACTTATATATATATATAATCGCAAGCAACTGTAAGAAGCACTACCGCAATGAAGAGATACTGGATGCTTACTGCTGATTTATATACCACTGGCCTACCGCCCTACCGCTCAGAAAAATGCGCGGTTGGTGATGAATCTGCTTTGTCTTTTGATGAATGATCTTGGAATATTGAATGCGTGTGTTCAATCGGCTTTAGTAAGAATATACAGCAGTCTTTCATAAGATCATATATAAATTAAAGGGAAAAAGCATAAAATGATGCATACAAATCTGAAAGAGCCTATAGTTACGATTCATATAATTGATATGTAATTCTATTAAAATCTAATTGAATCATTAATCAAATAGATGAACAAAATTATTTAATTCTAATTAAATAATATATTCAATCATTGGTTTTTTAAATCTTAATCCGTAGATTTTGATATCATTTTATTCTTTTGTTTGATATCCTAGAATCATCTAACATCTTGCATTTATCCAGTTATATGATTTGTTTTATAATATTTTGCATTGCAGATTTTCGATTTACATTCATGACCGATCGAAATTTGGATAATACGGGATGGATTCTAAATCCAACCATGTCTAGATCCTTTATTTTCTCATGACGAGAGTATGATCAAGTCGCTGAAGAGATTTCATATTCTAACGAGTTCTGCCTCTTCACGATTATTTCCTCAATTTAGAATTCCGCACGTGCCGATAAAATGACGCATTTACTTGCGCGCTTTTGAACTCGGGGAAGTTTCTTGGGGAAGTTCTTTTTCACTGTCTTGGTCATTCTTTATAACAATTTATATGCAACATTCGTAACTCTTGGTCGCTCCCTCGCTCGCGTATTCCGCGCACGCAATATCGTTTGCAGAGAATACAGGAAGATGAATGAGATACTGATATCATCATAATTACTCATTTGTTCGGTATGTCTACATCTTATAATAATGGTATTTCGTCACGTGACTCTTTGAGATAAAGGAAGAAGAAAAGGAAAAGTCCTGTGCACTCTAATAACGATCGTTCAGAAGACGTAAAAGCAGCTAACTGCATTGATTGCGATTAGATCGGATCTTGTATACAGTTCCTCCGGATTAGCATTCAATGTTTAATTCATGGATCGCACTTTCAGATGTTTGACATAGGCGTGTCCGCGAAATCCGGCGCTCTGCATGAAATAGTAATAATTTTGCATATGTAACGCGCCATCGGCACGTGCTTACATGCTATTGCGTGCATTCGATCATCAAACATGCACCGCACCAGGTGAATTTTGCAGCATATGTTTTTCCTCGAGATTACGAAAACGATCGCATGACCTACATTATATTATGCACAGGCCGATCTGCGCGTGATATATTCAATCTTCGCATTCGATTCTTCCGTGCTGGCACCAAACTTTATTGGGAGTTGCTCTACATCCGAATTATGTCAAGGACGCCGCTTGCGAAGACAGTAGTGGATTATCTTATCGGCGAAACTTGATATATATATATATATATTCATGCAAACAGTTTATATGTATATATATATATATATTATCAGTATATATATATTATATATACATGAAACTGCTTGCATGAACCGAAGCAAGTTGCCCTTTGATTCCTTGAATTCGCCTCCGATATGTTTTTTCAAATGTTTTTTTAAATAAAACATTTATTCTAAAGACAGAATCTGAACATTACTTCTGTATATTTTATTATCTAAATTAATTATATTTACCTGCTTGACAGCAACGATTCAAATATAAAGAAAATGTTTTATAAATTAAATTCATATGAATTTGAAAGAAATAGTCATTAGTAATTATAATTATTATTTTAATTTGTTTTACTTGCCAATTTTTAAATTATTTTAATAATGCAGTTTGAGTAATGTAACATATATAACATATTATGCGATCTTAATAATGTAACATATATGACATATATGTGTATAACATAATATGTAACATAGTAATCTGTTGTTTTTTTTCTTCCAGCTTGTAATCTGGCTTAGGGAAAAATAATTTGTTTTGCGCAATTAGCATCAATTCACATTGGTGCAAATTAGCCCCTGTAATGGATATAACATTTTTCCATTCGTTATTCGTCGTTTTATCTGAAGTCTTTCTCAACTTTGTTCAAATTGCATGCAACTTCTTACAGGAAACCGACTATAAGAGACACTGCAATAAATTCTTTAACACGTAATACCGGATTGCACGTTGCATAAAAAAAAACTGGGTTATATATAAACAAATAACTCGATTTGCCTTGAGAGAAATTATTGGTAGTTGATAGGCCCATTTATCGCGCGAATATGAATCGTAAATTGCAGACGACAAGGTCGATTACTTCGCGCAATTGCATATAATTGTCCTTACACTTGACGGATTCTTTCATGAAAGGATGAATTCTTAAATTATAGGCCATCGAATAACGACTCGATTTGCTCTATCGATTCCTATTACCGTAATAGTCAGTTTCCAATCTACCTAACTATTAATAGCGTTTGGCAGAGAAAGTGTCTATTTACACACAGATGTTCGCAACAGAGACGAAAAATTTTTTAATAGCTCATTTCTATAAATTTAATTTGGAGTTATGTAAAAATTATAGAATTATAAAATTGTGTTATATACTTTTATATATGTATATGTATATATTTATATTTATATAGTATTTAAGAATACTTTTATACAAGTTTAATATTGCATGTGATAAACGCGGGAAACGTGTACAACGATAAAGTTATTTAAGAAATTCGCCTTCATGCAGTGATTCAAACTAGTTTGTGGGTGGAGGAAGTTTTTAATACTTTTAGAGAATGCGATCAAATTGCTCTTTGTGCAAAAGCTTTTACATCTCTCCCGCTTTACTTCTATGAATGTTTGGCAAGAAATTTCAGAAATGCTTTCTCAAAGAAGCTTTACGGTTTTTATCTTCTTATTTCTTCTCTTCTTTTCCGAGATTCTATTTCGAATCTACCAAGTTTGCTAATTGCGGTGATATAACATATAATTTCTATCGTGATCTGGCAAATTTAGACTCGAATATAAAATAAACATAGGAATTACTTGGACTAATAAACATACGAAATTACATTACAAGAGATCACATTACAGCTAGTATATTTATTGTTCGTGATCCAAGAAAAAAATGCTCATTAAAGATGAGCTGTTGGATGAAACACACCCAAAACTGTCTGCGGTTCATACGTCATTTCTTGTTGGGATTTACAGACATGCCATAGTAAATCGTCTAAATATTTTGGCTACTGCAGGCTTCATCAAAACTGCTCTGTGCAGTCGACTGCGTCAGTTTCGTTCCGCTCAACATTCGCTGAAAATCGTTGATCACTGTCAAGCTCATCTAATCTCACGTATCCGTTGGATCCCTTCAAATGTCAAACCACGGCAGCAAAGATAATTGCGAGTCTCTTCGCCGACCCAGCCTCTCCATAAAGATGCAACGTAGCTTGAAGAAAATGAGAAAAAGCATCCAAAAAATTACTGGTAACGATATCCGATTTGATCGTTGTAGACTAGAACTTTCTCCTAGTCTAGTTTTTGTAACGCTTATAGAAATCGCCAATTAATTAGGCAAATCGCTCGATTAAATTAAATAATAAGAACGTAATATGTACAATTAAGTAATTGAATAGAATCATATATGATTTTTAGTAATAAATATCTGTTAATTATTATTAATCTGTTTATTATTATTAATAATTGTCTGTTTTAATAATTTTATGGTAGCTGTGTTAAATAAATACTCAATTTAATTAAATGATTAATAACAATTATAATTTGCTAAAAATTTTGAAATAAAAATAAAAAGAAGATAAAGTAAAAATGTTAAAGTAAATATTCGCAATTTTTTAGTGATAATAATGCATACTTAGTAATTTACATTTGACATTGTAAAAATAGAAAGAACTCTTTAAAGTGCGCAACTAATTAATTTAATCTTATTACAATTACAGTATTCAAAAGATATATAATTGTAAAGAATTTGATAGTTACAGAATGAACTTCAAATTTCTAAGATTAATTCGAGCGAATAAAAATCAGGAAATACATACTAATAATACGATAATATATACGATAATCTGCAATATCACTGTAACTCGATTACATTTTTGTAGAAAACATCCAGGAAGGTGATAAACATTCATTGTACGTGTTCCCCGAGCAACTGTCTACTCTAACTTGGCGCACTGGGTTTTCTAAGGATGAAATTCGTAAATTGTATCGCGCCTTCAAGCAGCTGTATCCTAGAGGATGCGCAATTTCCAGCGACTTGAAACCCGCGTATGCCAAACTATTTCCGCTTGGTGATTCGGCTAGATACGCACAGATCGTGTTCAACAACATCGACAGGAACGGCGATGGCATCGTCAATTTCAACGATCTTCTCAGAGCTATGACATCGATTATTAATGGCAACGTGGATCAGAAGCTTTCCTGGATATTCGAGTGAGAGCTCTCATCTCATTTTCAATGTTTCTATTAATAATTATTTTTCTGATAAATTCGAAAAAAAAATATTGTGAATAATATTTTATAAGAGATTTAATTATAATTTATAAAGTTATTCAATGGGGATTGGAAGATGTAATAATATTTATTCGAATTAGAAGAATTTTAAATTAATTTTAAAAAAGATTTTTTGGTCAATTTAAAAGCAATTCATTTTCTGTCTAATTGATAATCTCGAACGTAGCCAAAGCAACACACGCGAAATAATTTCTTCGGACTTATTGCTTTTCAGATTTTACGATTTGAACAGCGACGGTTGCATTACAAGACAGGAAATGCTGACTATAGTATCCGCGATTTATGAGATGGTGCAAAATGCGCAAACTATCCAGTCCATGGTTAATCAACAGGTGGACAAGTTCTTTGAGAAGATGGATGCGAATAGAGACGGTATAATCTCCAGAGAAGAATTTATGAACGGCTGTAAAAATGTATGGAATCCTCTAGTATGTGTAAGAATAATATTGTTCATATTTAACATTAGAAGAATTCTATTTAATGATGAAATGTCTTATTAGACTTTTCTAAAAGAACTATACATTTTATTAATATCGACATCGATACAAAATTTGATAAAAATGATTTATATGTGTTTTGCTGTTACATCTTCTAGTGTTAAAATTCAAAGCACAATATAAACTATTTTAATAATGGGAAATATAAAAATATATATGTATCCAAAAATTTCATAAATTGTATTTTCTTACAGGATGCTATTATATACAATCAGTTATTTTTATTTAACAAAATCTGGTGACGGAATGAAAATGATGTTAAGAGATTAATGAATAACTTATATAAAGTTATTAAAATATTTATAAAAGACACTACCCTTTGTCCTTTTTCACTCTTGAAGAGTACATATAATATATATCACATTATTTCTTTTTCTCCCGTCTCCTTATAAGAATTTGCATTGTTATATAAACAGTTTAATATCTCATCTTAAACTTTATATATCTTATATATCTTAAAACTTTATACATGCTCAGAATCTTTTTTGTAGAATATAAAATACGCAGGCAAGAAAAAAGGCAAATGCTAATGCGAGCAGCGCTTTATCAGTGACTTCTCGTCTACCATATTTCCCTAACAGTTTTCCTGATTGTACAATAGCTTGTTGCTGATGCTCCAATTCGTCCTTAGTACTGCCGACTTTGTCTGAAGATGTTACTGAAACATTAATACAAAAAATTTGCTAAAAATTTAATTTATAGTTATCTTGCTGTTCATTCTTTAGTGTTAAAATTCAGCGCAATGCAATCTATTTTAATAATAATGAATATAAAAATATTTATGTTTCGAAAGATTTCATATATTCTATTTTTTACAGGATGCTATTATATACAATCAGTTATTCTTATTTAACAATATCTGATGACAAATGAAAATGATCTTAAGAAAGATTAATTAATAACTTATACATAAAGTTATTAAAATATTTATAACAGTCCACCCTCTATCCTCTCTTTCATTCATGAAGAGTACATATAATGCCAATCCATAGAATAACATGCCATCAGCTTGTCATCAAGTAACGAGACAAGTACATACACAAAGTATCTAGCGTATCAGCGCTTCTTTGAGATGTTTCGGCCAGATGTCTGGAAATACTAAGCAACTTGTCTGTCACTTGGCTAGACGCGTTTGTCAAGCTCTGTTTGTCATGCCGCCTACGGAGAGCGTTTTGTCGTTCCTCCGGCATAGAGAACAGATTCTCTCTCGCCAGTTTGTCAATGACACATGCACTGACAACATTGGCTTTGCGGAAAGCGGCCAAGGAAGTGTTCAGCTGTTCCTTGTAACTATTCACGGTGGATAGCAGTTCAATCCTCTTCATTTTATCCAACTCGGTTTCGGCGACGGATGCCAGATGCTCTATGGAGAATTTCAAAACTGCTATCTTGGCTCTACCCTCTGCGTTGAGTTCGTCCAGCACTTCTAGCGGCCCACTGCATTGCTGTATGTCCTTCAGGGTAAACAGATAATTTATTAAATGCAGAGTGTTAATTAGACATATTGTAATTTAATTCATGACATATTTCTCGCCACTATCACCATAGCTTTGCTATATCAACATTGAAATTTAGGTTATATTCTATGTATCACGACAATATATATATTTACTTGTATTAAAGCATTCACTTGAAGTTGGTATTTGACAATGTCTTGACGTATTAATTCCACCACGTAATTGTCGGGATCCATTGATTATGCAAATTACTTTGCTCCTATGTTATTTCTCGTTTATACGGCGTACATACGTGTGATATGTAGGCGAAACTCCGATCAGCTGATACAGACAGATGTCGAGCTGTCAATGGACACGTGTTATATCACTGAACGATATGCGCCATCATTCGTAATTCCAGAAATTTTTATTTCAGAAATTTTATTTTGCTTGAGAGAATAGCATATTTTTATTATATATTTATATATTATATATTATATTATAAATATATATTATTATATATAGATATATGTATATAATATATATTTATATATATTTATATATCATAAATGTGTGTGTATATTTAGAGGGAGAGAGGAAAGGCCCCTATTATGAGATACCGAGTTTATTTTGGGTAAATGCTAAAAATCTATGACAATTTAAAAAAATAACAGATTATTTTGAAGGGGGAATTTAATAAGCTTTAAGATAATGTTATGTAAAATTTAATTCAAATTTATTTTTTTTATAAATTAAAGAAATATGAAAAGTGAGCAAATCGCAAAGTCAAAAAATTATGCTCCTAATATAAGATGCCTAAGAAATCGATAATAAAACGCAAAATATCAATATTATTGCAATTAAAAAACTTCATTTAATGTTCTAAAATACAACAAACATAGTCAGTGCGCGTATGCCAAAATGAGTATGCAATGCATTATATCTAGGACTCGTCTTCAGATAGTTGGAATGAAGCATCGCAGAAACAGGCACTCGATGTTTATTCCGATTGTCCTTTTTATTATTGTATAATAACATTTATACTTCAGCAACGATTTTCACTATGCATACAAGCATAGGCTGTTTCATAATACCTTGAATATCTCATATTAAAAATTCGAATCGATTTCCACGCCTTACAATTTTACGATCATCAAATCTAACTTTTGTAATTAAGCAATTCAACATATCCCATATTTTTCTGTTAGTACGATCTTTCTCTATCATCACATAAAGAATTTGTTGCCAAATATTTACTTATTAAATAATAAACAAGGTTTAAAGGCTAATCTCAATAAAACTTGACATCCAAATTCTAAAAAATCTTTTTTTGCAATAACTACAGGCACGATGTAATAATGAATTTTCTCTTAATAGTTTTTAATCCAAGGACAATAAATTCAAGGTGAAAACAATAGATAGCGTTTATTAATTTAGCGGAAATGCTGCTATCTCATATTAGGTACCTATCTCATAATAGGGGCCTTTCCTCTATATATTTATTAAATTATGAACCATTTATTTCACAAATATTAGAAAATAGGGTTGAAAATAAAATAATCAGAAAAAATCAATAATTAAAGATAAATATTAATTACTGTAATTTACCAAAGTAATTTTAATATTTGCATTTAACAATTTTATCAAAGATGACTGTGAAATGTGAAGATATATGTGTATTTATATCATTATTTCTAATTATGAAATAAGGAGAGCTTGACATTTTTTAATAAGATGTACAAGATAGCGTATAATTTATTCTATATATAGATATGATACAATTGTGTCTATGTTTTGATCTATTATAGAACTAATTGTGCAGTCCGCTTATCCGCATTTGAATTTTTGCAATCTGGCAAAAAACTTTGGATTTCTTTCTGTTCGTAGAACATACAGAAGGTTACTCTTGCAAATGAAAATTTGCATCATTATAGATTTCTAGAATAATATAGCTTTACAAATTTTATGTGAGTTAGATATACCCTATAACGGGTGACGCTACAATTTACACAATCATTTTAGATAAAAATGAGTTCACAATGCAAGGTCTACGTTTTCTTATGTTACACAAGTTTTAGCGTAGGCTGTTTATCACGGCAGCAGTGAACTCCGTCGTCGAGCTTTGCCCACCCAGATCTTTTGTTAGCACCTTTCCGTCGTTCAACACGCGGTTTAACGCCTCCCGGATCTGCTCACCATAGCGTTTCAAATTCGCGTGGTTCAGAAGTTTCACCGCACACAGCAACATCGCCGTTGGATTCGCGACGTTTTTGCCGACCGCCTCGGAATATGTGTGCCTTGCGCCCTGTTGAAGAATATGAGACTCTAAGGCCTGATTGCACTAACGTTACTTTGATTTTAAGCGAGGCTTAAAACTCTTTCTCTGTCTCTTTTTGGCTTTAAACGAGATAGAGTTTAAGTCGCTTAAAATCAAAGTGATATTGGTGCAACCAGGCCTAAATAACTTATGTTTTAAAATTGGTGTGAGTTAAATTTTAAAAATTCTTCTTAATTTTAATTGCACTTTGAATATAATTCTTATTTTGTGCAAATATATATATATATATTAGGTGTTGGAATTAATTCGTAGCGTTTTTTAATGAAAGAATGTTATTTATTTCACATGAGCATTAAAAAATACATTAATGAAAGTACTTCCCAGATACATTACTGGTTCAAAGACGACACACTCAGCGCTGTAACTGGCACCTGCGACGACTCCGGCACCACCGACCAAACCGGATGCGAGATTATCCACAATATTTCCATACAAATTCGGCATTACCATGACGTCAAACTGATGTGGATTAGAAACCATCTGCATAGTACAATTATCGACGATCATTGTCTCGAACGTAATCCTGTTTCATTAAAAAATAGGAATATAAAGTAAAAGCTAAAAAGAAAATCTGCTTATATGAGCCAATGTGAGTAACAATGCGTGAATTATCATAAGTAATATTAAGTACATTTTGCAATAATTTCATAATAAATATTTCTAAACAGATTCTTATCCATGTGGACAAGAAAGTTACTGGAATACCTGGGGTACAACTTGGCAATTTCTTGGCACGATTTGAGGAAAAGCCCATCGCCGAGCTTCATTATGTTAGCTTTGTGAACACATGTGACTTTCTTGCGATTATTCTTTACAGCATAATCAAAAGCGAACTTCGCGATTCTTTGGCTTTTAGTGGCAGTCACGATCTTTAAGCACTCGACCACCCCTTTAACAGATTCGTGCTCCAACGCGGAATACTCTCCCTCTGTTTGTTCTCTGATAATAACGCAGTCCACATTTTGATGACGTGATCTGATTCCTGGCAAAGATTTCACGTGTACCACGTTTGAATATAAGTCCAAGCTCTTACGTAATTTCATGTTCAAGGTCTGCAACTCTCCAGTCATAGAGTGATCCGGAGTTGCTAGGATCCCCTGTCATGTGAAACAATATTCAGTTACATCGAGTTGCAAAATTACTGTTCTTACAGCCATATACTACTCTTCAAAAAAATTTTCTTTCTCAAATAGAAAAATTTTTATATTTGAAATTATGTGCTTTATCTTATTAGCCATTTGTATGTATACGAAATGAAAGCATTGAGTAAGTTATATCATTTGTTTATTTAATTTAATTATATTATTTAGATTTATTATATTTAGAAAATCAGACCTTTAAACAAACTCGATTTCTAGCAATACTGTTGGAGACTTGATCTAAAGGAGCACTCAGGGTTGGATTTACTTCAGACAAGAAGTAAGGTTCGAATTCAACCGGGACATCCGCAGCTTTGAAAACACTTTGAACTGCGACCACTAATTCTGGTCCAACACCGTCTCCTGGTATCAAGGTACATTTCAATTTTCCTTCTTGTTCAACTGACTGGAAAAAGTACACATGTCACATATGTATCTAATTATCAATTGAAGAACAGTAATATTTTACCGATTCTTGTTGTCGTATTGTCCCTACATGCAGGGCTCTAACTGTGTTCTTTTGAGTAGCCTATAAACACAAAGCATAAGAATTATATTTTATTAAATAATAAAATTCATAATTCACTGTACATATATGGTAATCTAAATGTAATATATTACAAATCTAAGATACTTTAAGTACAATGTGCCAAAATTTAAACATATGTGTTACATATGTTTAAACATATGTGAATAAGAATCCTAGGAAACGAGAATGGATTGAAATGAATTGAAATGGATTCAGATTTTCAGAAATATTGATTCACAAATGTTAAAATGAATGCTTTTCAATTCTGAATGCATTTTTATTCATTTATAGGAATTGCATGGAGCATATCTCTACGCCTTTCAATCTAAAAATAATATTAGCTTTTTCTGTGCACACAAACACAATTGTGAATACTATTCAATTCAAAATTTTGAATAGGGAATAGCAGTTTTTCAATTTCATCCAATTGAATCTAATTAAATCCAATTAAATCCAAAAAAAGTATTCGCTATTTATATATATATATATATGTATATAAAATACACATTCAGATAGAAAAAAATTTCAATCCATTTTAATCCATTCTCATTTGCTGGGATGTAATTAGTTATACAAAGAATTCAAAATAGCACTTATTACTTTTATCTCAAATATAATTCTTTTTTTTTTCAGGAATGAAATGCTCCAAGCTTAGAATCTTCGGACAGGATTAATCCTTTTAGTTAACTGGATTTAATCAACATTGTAAACTTATTCTATTCGTTGCACTCCATGAATAATAGGCTTTTAATTCTTGCGTAACAATTTATTGCTTTTCTCGGCGAATAACTAAGATTATCTTGATTAAATAATGTGATAAGCAAGAGCTCGCAAGTGCAGGTGCTTGCCTCAATCGACGTGTAAAGATTCGCGCAGCTGAGCAGATTCGAGAAATACATTTGGACGGGTGTATCGAGGAATAGGCTTGCATTTCCGATACGCGAATGCGTTTCGGATAAAAATATCGCGATACAAAGATATACCTAAATATGCGATGCTCTTGCAATCATCTACTTCACCACGCTGACGGAGCAGTTGAATTTTTCGTCTTAATTGATATATAGAACTTATGTGTTTCTTCCGCATTTCACAGATGCACGAAATTCTGAACACATGCAATAACGGAGGAATGCGTCGATGATTACCTGAGAGAGCGCCTTACAAATGTTTCTCGTGAGCAAAGCCATCTTTCACGACTGCTCGTCGGCACTGCTCGTCTCGCTCGCGCTCGCAGGGATGTAATCACGTTCAGGGTTCCTACATTAATTTGAATGAGGAGCGAACGCTATGTAGAAACCTTCGAGAAAATCTTCATATGATCTCTAGCATGGAAAAAGAATTTAAAAATGCTGGTTAAAATAATATTTTCACAAATTCAATAAAAATAAAATTAGGCCATGATGTGATATAAGTATAGAAAAAAATTTAATTGTCGGAAATAATTGAGCCTTTCAGAATTGATAAACTTTCACGAAATAAAAAGTAGAGGGAAATAAATCAATTGTGCTCTGGTATTAATAAAAATTATTTATAAAATTATAGTATTAGTAAAATGAAAAAGTAAAAGGCATTTTCGATTATATGTATAATTATAATTTATAAAAGAGTCGATTGTTTTGGCTTCAAAAAGGTTCAATTGATTGTTTAGCTTATTTAGACTGATTATCATACTGAATTCGTCTAATACTCAAAGATCCATATATGGCGTAGAAATAAAATTCAAAATTTCTGACAGCATCCGTCACTGTTAAACAGTCACGTGGACAATGCACTAGCGATTTGCACTTTTTCTACACTCTGATTATTTGCTTAAATTTTTCAACAACTCAAATATGCAATCTTATTTTACATGCAGAAGGTGAATTTAAAGTTTACTTTTTATGGCAATTTTTTGTATTTTTCATCTTTCCTCCTTTTTTTCACCACGTCTAACCTAACTATCTATCTTCTTTTAAATACAGAAAGTGCGACATGGTGTTGTTGTGGTGGATTTCCAAAAGTTAAGAGGACATTGTAAGATGACAGGAAAACAATATGAGGAAAACATGAGAACATTGTTAAGACAATACGAGAATGTCATGAGGACATCAGTGAATAATCGTGATAAGAGACAATAAAACGAATCAGCTGATTCTCGGAGTAGGTCGAATAGTAAACTAGGGAATTAGAGCCTATAACTCCCTAGTTTGCTACCAAAGGATCAGCTGATTCGTCTTATCATCTCTTGCTGCGATTCTCCCTGGGTTCTTGATCGACCATCGACGTCGTCCTTAGAAGCGGCGCTGAATAGAGCATCGAAATTCCAATATTCTTTGCATTTTCTGGAATTTTCGCCTCGCGAATGATATCTCACGTCGACAACACACGATCGAATCCCTAGAGGATTACGATGCTGCAGAGTTTGCGGACATGGAGCCGGGTAGAAATAGACACGAAGAGGAGGAGAAAGAGCTGTGCGTGGACGAGATAAATTGTGCGATCTATTTTTGCAAGAGAGACGTCGCGGTGACGCTTCCTGGGATTTGTGTCTTCCGAGTCCTGAGCCTCCGCCCTCTAAGATTCCACTGGTGAACCGGTCAAAATGATGGAGAACTTACGTGAGTGATTTTACCGTGCGATCGGAGCAACAGGCATTTCCTTGATGTTTCTAGCTCTAAATGTTAAAAAGAAATAATTGAACATTTGTATGTTTGTATACAAGAAACGTAGATATATTTTGCGCGTGTATATGCTCTTCACCATTTTGAAATTGTTTTATAGGAGATGCGTGCGAGCATATGTTATATTGTTGCTGTTCGTCAGCTGATTCTTTCACGTTAACAATTTCTTACAGCTGAGGAAGTAACGAAATCGAGTTTCCGTCGTAAGGTGTGGGACTACATGATGAAGAATGAGCTGGTGAATTTTCCTGTTAACATATACAAGCGTATTCCGAACTTTAAAGGCGCCGCGGAGACTGCACAGCGATTGATTGAACTGGATGAATTTAAAAGGGCTAGAGTTATAAAGATAAATCCGGACAAGCCGCAGGAACCAGTGAGGTTTTTAGCCCTGGAAGCGAACAAGGAAATCATTGTGCCTATTCCCAGATTGAGAACTGGCTTGTTTTTACACGTTACGCCAGTTGCTGGCGCAACGAAGGAACAGCTGAAAACACTGGCTTCCATGCGTGGTCTAGAACAAGCGGGTAAATCACTGGGGCTGGATTCCCGTATTAAGGTAAATTTTAAAGAAATTTAAGAATATATAATAATTTAATATTAATGGATAAAAGATATAATATGTATAAAAATGAATAATGCTACTGAAGATACAATATCAAATTACTTCATTTTCTTACAATACACACAATTATTTATATCTATTTCTACTAATATAGATTAGCTTTGATCTCAGTTCAACTTACTCTTCATTTTTTCCAGTTCTAAAGCTGAGTTCCATCAATGTATAATAAGATTAACTTCTTCGAATTTACACGATTCTTAGAATTAGAAAAAGGTAAACAGTTAAACTGAGATTAAAATTAATCTACATTGGTGGAAATGGGCATTAGACTTTTTTGCATAGCATTTACTTTAACGGCATGGAACATTAATTTATTCTAAACACCTATTATATTTATTATTTATTCAGGTAGATCTCGTTGTACTGGGATCTGTATGCGTCAGTCGAGATGGGTACAGACTCGGCAAAGGAGAAGGGTTCGCAGATCTTGAGTTTGCGATGATGATGAGAATGGGCACGATAACAAAAAATACAATTGTTGTCACAACAGTACATGATTGCCAAATTGTAGATTACCTACCACCACAATTGTTCAAAGAATATGATGTGCCGGTAGATATAATTGTTACGCCGACGCAAACTGTATACGTAGAGTCGAGACTGAAGAAACCATCTGGCATTTTGTGGCATATGCTTAGCGAAAGAAAACTCAAAACCATGCAGGTATTACAGCAGCTCAAAGAGATGGATGAAAAGTATGCATTAAGTTGCCTGAATCACGTTAAGTAGGCTATTTCGTGTAAATACACAATTATTCTTTCGCAGAAATGGGAAAATCGTAGTCCTGAAGGAAGTCGATTCCGACGTGGAAACGCGCCAGTATATCAAGAATCGCGTTAAATATCCGAAAAACAAGAAACGTTTCAACACGAAAAGAGATGCGCCTAATACCGAAAACACGATGGAAGACAGCAAGGATAAAGGTGAGAAATCGCGTTTTCCACGAAGACGAACGTATAAGAAACCAAAAGCTGAAGAAGAAAATGATCTTCCCAATGCTGAAGTACAAGTAAGTCTTCTATAACATATTATCGTACTTTTATTACTCTTCATTATTTGCGAGAAATAATGAAGGACATCCCCCACTTTATAAATTCGATAAATGTATGAATGCTATTCATATCCGTTATTATTAGGTGTATCACGCGTAGACGAGATACAGATTACTAAAGCCATCTATTGAAAAAATAATGGATTTCTTTTTACTACACCTAATATATTTAACGTAAATTATTTTACAATTAACAAATTTTTTTGAATTTGTCTTTATACATCTAAAGGATGTATACAATATCAATCTTTATTTAATTGTAAATCATCAAAGAGAATAATGAAATTGATATGTTTAATATTGGGGGTGTGTCAAAAATTAATCCACGCAAGTAATTACATTTAAAAAAAAACTATGCGAGTAATACAAGGTTAATAAGAGTGAATGCGAGTTAAATTTCTCCTTCTCTATTAAATAAAAGTTTATGTAGAGTTAACAGAGAAAAATATTTTAAAAAATATTAAAAAATATTTATTATCTGTTTATGTTTTTAGTATTTTTTTTTATAAATAAATCTTGCTTATGCGTTATAGACGAAGACAGAAAACAATACCAAGAACGCGTCCCGGCGGCGTAAGAATCTTCGCGCCCGAATGAAAACGCATATTGATTTCTCGTTGAAGCTCTCTAATATCTCATCCGGTGTGAGAGTCCGCGATCTAAAGAACGCTCTATTGATGCGCGGCGTTAAGCCGAGCGAAATAACTTGGCAAGGCTATCGTGGCATCTGTTACCTTCACTTTAGCAAACTTCGGAATGAGGCAGCTCCGCCAGATCAGCCAGTTCAGGTAGATTCGATCGTGGCGAATTTACAGCAGCTTCGAATCGGTGAGTCCGTGAACGACGAAGAGGGATTTATATACGTAGAACCTGCGAAACCGATTTCTAGAATCGAGGTAACCGATGTAACAACTGTCTAAGTGTTTATTGAAACTACATTGAACATGCAATTACATGTTGTTTCTTGGCCATTTATATTCCGACGTCGAACACAGTTATAGACGTCTTCTAAAGTCAATCTTTTTTTATGAGAATTATGTTACATATATTGAGTGTCCCAACAACGCGCATTTTCTTTTCGTTATAAACATTTTAATGAATATTGTGTGTAAAGTGGTTACAACAAATGTTTAATTAAAAGCTAAAAATTAGCATTCTTTAGCTTTTTAATTTGATTTTTGTTTTGCCTATTAATTAAAGAGGCACTTTAATTAATAACCATTAATTAAAGGATGCTTAAATGTTCTTTAAAATTAAAGAAATTAAATGGGACATAATTAAGTACTTATGACATTAATGTGAGACTATAATTTAAATTGCTAATTTAATTTTAATAGTTGAAAGAAATTGCACAACTTCTGAGATATACTGTACCTTGATTTTTTTTATAGATATTGGCTTCTATTGAATATTTAAAGAACATGCATTATGTATTAACGTTTCTTAACATTTATTAACGTTTTATATAATTATTTTACATATCGCTGTTATTTTACTTAGATCTATATATTGGAGTTGTACTTGCGAATTACTCCGGAAGTAAAACACATTGATGACGATGATTTACGTTCGATTTAAGCTATAAGATGTGATATATACCTGGTGCAGTGCGAATATTAATATTAATAGTTGTTACAATTAACATAGACATACCTTATATTTTTGGTTAATGATTTTATTTATACTACTTTTGTATCAATAAGCCGTTACATTTTGACGTATGTGAAAATATCGGATAACTTTCCAACAAATTCGTCGCAACGCCCATAAAATAATCTGTGATCAAAACTATATACTTAGCGAGTAAGATAGATGGTTCATGGAGAGAAACAATAACATGTATGTACAAGATCGCTGAACAGATTGAAAGATAAAAAGACAATTATGGAGGTTGTATTTATATATTATATAAATCGGTAAGCGTACATTCGCATCATTCCAAAATGAAGTATTTTCTTTGATTTTTTAATATTTGTTAACTATTTGTAATTCTAAATGGATTTGATATAGTTCTTTGCTATCCTTTGTACAATTTTTCAAATATTTAATGCCTAATAATAATTAAAACTATATTTTTGACGTCTAAATCTCTTCCAGTAACATAAATTAATTATTGCATATTAAATTATTATGTATTAAAAGTAACTTATATTTAAATTGAAAGTAATTTATATTAAATTGAAGGCGAAATACTTAATTTTCACTTATTGATGGGAAATAATTTGAATAATTTAGGCAAAGAGATTGATCTTTTTTTACTATAACTAATAAAATATTCAAAATATTTCTTTTCGATTAATTTTCAGCGCAGTTTAAAGTACATACGCAGTTAAAGTACGTGCGAGTTAGGACTTGCAAAAAATGATAATGTGTTATAAATATATTGACTGTTGTTGTATCTCTTCATGGAGCAAAAATTGATCGTTTTAAATTTTTTTTATTCTGTGCAGAAATATAAGTTGAGATTAATAGACGTGAATAGAGTGCATATCTGCGATAATATCTGATGGTAATTATCTAATGTTATAGACTGATGACAATAGTTTAAGTGTCGTTCACAAAGAACATTTAAGACATATGGAGGAAAATTATCAATATTTCTTCATGTTTAAACAGAGAGAAAAAATACTCTATTTTTCTGAACACAAACACACATCCACATACATATACACGCGCATATTCTAAAAAAAATAAATACAAAAAATACAAATATATTTTCATGCTCTAGCCGCTTTATAGACATGTTGTGGTCTTCCATGTATTGCCATTTGAGCGTGCAGGGAAAACAATAGGTGCTTGCGTATCGGCTGAAGAGGCAGAGAAACGGCAATACTTTGTGATATTAACAAATATGATTTATTTTAAAATCTATTGTTTCTAATCGTGCCGGTGAAGTTCACGTAGATACATACGTAGAACTAATGACGATTGTTTTTACGCGCAATAGACATTTATCTCGCTACTTACATATATATCATGTATATAAATCTTACGTATATATAAAGGAAACGTTTCTTTTTATCAAATCTCTATCCTCGTGATTACTCTGCATATCCTTACTGCTCCGATATCAATATTCAATTCCTGATAATTCCCCTGAGAAAAGAAATAAATGCACTCTAAAAAATATGAGTGGATTATACACTATGGCGGTGTTTATATAATATTCATTGTGTTGACGTAAACACCAAGGTGTAAATTTAACGTCACAGGTGGATTTAACACCAATATAATGTTAAATCCTTATCATGTTATGATATTTATATCAACACCTACACGGTGATAATTATATATACACCCATGATATTAAATTTTTATTTTTTAGAGCATGCGTAATTTTATAAATTATAAATAAATTGCAAATTTTCATTTGTTTATTTTCTTCTTTCATAAATGTAAGTTTTCCGCAGCCAGAGATGCGGAACATCAAGTTGCATCTTAACAAAAGTAGGCCAAAACAACTCGAACACAAGTAACTTTTTTCCATCGAGATCTTAATTCCTTTGTTATTGTTTGCTCGCAATTGTTTTCCACACTGCAAGAGTGTGAGATGAGATTAACGAGCGGCAATAATTACTTTCCTCTTGCAAAAGCGTACTTCGTTTTTCTTTTTTTTTTTTTATCGGAAGTGCAGAAAATGAGGGAATTAAGGCGGTCGCAGAAACGCCTCTCATTTTTCCATCGGACTCGTGGTTGAAATTGCATTAGTTTCGATTGAACTTCCCGATAAGCGCCTCGCAGTAGTTTATCGTCACGGACGACGGCTTTCCTCACTTAATCGGATGAAATAAAATTTATCTATCTGCCATGCATGTGAGTAAAGCGATTGCGACTGGGGATCAAAATATCTTTTTCTGTAAAAACAGGCACGAACTGTTTTTTTTTTTTTACACAATGCATCAAAGCATCAAAGAAGCTTATAAGCTAAGTGTAATTACAGTTTTTATGGTCCTAAGGGAGAGAACCTCATCTTGCCATAAGAAGGCTAATTTGCCAAGCGCGTAAAGGCAATTAAAAGCAAAACGTCGGGTCTTCGGGTTCCATTAGGTTGAATTTTCTTATTTAACGGCGCCTTTATCGCGCAAAGGGCTTTACCACGGCTTTCATCGGCCTCCAGAAACTAAACTGCATTATCTTCTATTGGATTTCCCCATCGAAGACCGGCGCGATTGCCCTTCCCGAGCTTCGTTACTCTTCTCCATTAAGAACCACATTTATCCGCATAGACACTCCGTCAGCATTATTCTGCGGGAAGCTGTTAATCCTTTCGCAGTATAAACGTTCTAAGACAAAAATGTTAATATGTAATTTTTCTCTCAGATAAATCTATTTAAGAGATTTGTTTTAGTCGGAAACATTTATAGCAACGAATAAAAAATGTGCAATTTAAATTCTTCATCATATTTGACTTTCTAGATATTTAAAAATATATCGATTTCGTTTATGAATATGTGTTACTCAGAAACATACAATCTACTAAGAAGATTTAATTGCAAAAGATAAAGTGAAAAAAATTATTATTAAATCTGTATTTTTTTTTTTAAATATATTTTACTATATATTTTTATATTTGTATAAAAACTAAATTAATAAAAATTAATATAAAAGTAATTATAATATAAAAATAAATTAGTCGAGTCATCGCGAGCTTCGATTACAACTGCACGCCTGTCCAATTTTAGTTCCCGAACCATTGACGCAAAAAAAAAAAAAATCAATGTAGGTAGGATTTCGGAAACTGTAAAGTATTGATATACGTTCGTGTAACGCTTATCAACACTTTACAGTTCCCGAAATTTTACTCACAATTGAAGCTTTTTGCGTCGATGACTTTGCGTTTTGGCTCTGAAACTAAAATTGGACAGGCCTGAATTACATTATGCAGCATACTATTAACCATCATAGAAAAAATGAATATCAATTCGAATATCTTGTCATACAGAAAAACTCAATTCGATATCTTGTCATACAAACATCAATATATCTATAATATAACTTTATATATATGAAAATTGTTTTGAAACGTTTCCAATACAATACTATAATATCTCATAAAAATATATAAAATCTGTTACGCGATGAATAATGCGGACTACAATTATGTAGAAAAAAATAAAGTCACTCATTGTTTTGCTCCCTATTGTATGCTTATAACTTTTCAAATTTTTTCAATTATTTCAATAGATAACTATTGGGGTCGGTTTTTTTCTTGTAAAATATTTTAATTATATAATCAACGTCATATCTCGAGACCCGTTAAACATAAAAATTTCATATTTAATACAGAAGAAAAAAGAAAACTTTCAAAAGGAATTGCGCGCTAATTTGCAGCGCTTTATTCGTTTGACAAATTAAAAGCATAAATTGTAAAGGAGCAGAAAAGGATGTTAACTGATTTTCATTTATTACATAGCCACCGTTTACAATCGATGCTTGCACAAGGATATTAAAAATACACTACAAGTCAATAGTTTAATCGTTGCGTTACTCGCCACTTGCAGCGCCGATCGGACGCGATAATTGGCCCATTATATCAGCTTGCAGCAGCTTTTATAGATGCAATTATCTCGAACTATTCATCCCCCTTTTTAGATACGATCTGCAATGGATTCACTCGCACAATTGTTCCATAAATTGTGTCAATTGTCTGTACTGAGAACAATCGTTAATTTATTTGAAAATTACACATTTTCTCCATTGAGAGAAACGACATACAAAAAGATATTTCTTTAATTGGTAAATTCATTTTACCAATCAACGCGCTAATTTTTCGAGAATTTCACGACCGTATTGTATATCAGCGCTCGCATTTTTCAGTGATGTTTTATAGTTGATGCTTTCCAGCAAGAACGGTTCAAAGTGAGAATCAGGAGCAGTTAAGAGCAATATTAAAAAAAATAATAATGTACAATGTATTATTTAGATAGCGATAATAAAATTGACAATTTTATTATCTAAATATATATTATTATTGTTCCTATTATTATCTAAATCTACATATCTACATATGTATTATTATTCTTAATATTACGCCTAATTAACTATGCTTAACTCATTTGTCTTGTACCCTTTGAATTTTTTTTGAGTTTTTTTTTTAATTTTGAGAGTCCGTTAATTGTAACAATTTTCAGAAAAAGACAGTGTAATACTGTGATCACTTCTTTGTTACCAGCAAACAACAAGGACGTAATGATTTACTGTGTTACACTGTAGTATCTGTATTTCTTACTGAAAAGCACCCAGTGTCTGACCGGGATCTATATTGCATAGCATGGAGAGGCACGGTGACCCGTTTCACCCTTTTCTCACCCTCGCGAAACGGCGCCAGTGCTATCGATTATACGGCG